GTTGTATTAATGAGAAGTAAGTCAAATGTATCTAACCTTGTTCTAGAAATAAACTGAAATAAGCTGGAGACTGCATCCTGGGACACCATGCAGCAGGAAAGCAAGTTTGCGAACATGTGGCTCGGCACTGTGGTGGTCACAATCCTGTGACTTAGAGTAGTTTGTGGATCAGAGACTCTACATCGTGCGCTGAATTCACAAGACATGATAAACACAAGCAGAAATATCTGTTGCTAGTAAAATACAAGTTTCTTCTGTATAACTCCACATGGAAATTATTTATGTCAAGCAGGAAGTATGTGCTCCCATGAAGTGTTAGATAATCAGCTATTTGGGGATTATACTACCAGTGTGAGCAACGGAAAGCCACAAAACTGACCCTTCTTGAAAACTGTTCAGCCCACTGACACATGGTCAAATAGATTATTTAGGGAGCTCATCTGGTTATAAGGACTCATTCATGGTTGTAATTGTGGTTGTGATTGTGGTTGTGTGTGTGTGTGAGAGAGAGAGATTACAATAAGACATTGTGCCAAATGCTCTATGTCCCTGACATATACCAAGTGCTATGTCCAGGTCAAACAATTTCCAAATTTTGTGTGGAGTCTCAAGAAAAAGAGAAAATGGAAGCTGGAGAGATAGCTCAGTGGTTAAGAGCACTGACTGTTCTCACAGAGGACCCAGATTCTATTCCCAGCAACCATATCATGGCTAACAACTGTCTGTAATGGGTGCACTTACACACAGACAGGCGACATGCTCATACACATAATATAAAAATAATACTGTTTAAAAAAAAAGAAAAAGAAAAAATGATGCATTTTACTAGGAAAATTATAATGAACTTCACTATAAAGCAGATCTCTCAAAATCAATCTACCACAAGTTGATGTACATGACCCAAGTCTTTAGTAGCTGACAGCATGCAGTAAGATAGTTTTTCTAGTGGTCCTTTGGCATTTATGTTTGTGTGTTCAAAATTAAATTGCTGATTTGATTGACATTCTTAGACTGCTGGTGAAGGAGCTAAAATGGAGGTGATGTACACTTGAAGCACTTAGGGAGACTCGGGTCACAGCCGGCCAAGGCCCTTGAAGAGCAGAGATTCTCCATTCTACTCGTCTGGGGTTGCATAAGGCGAGGCATAACGGCTCCAAAAGTCACTGCAGGTGATTCTGACGTTTAGCCAGCATTGACAAGCTGGCTAAAGTGCAGCTGTTCTTTTAGACCAGTTCCTTTAAAGTGAACATTACAGATCATGCGAAATAAAAGCAATAGGTAAGTCAAATTAGTTCAGTTTGAAATCTGTTTGTATTTAAAGATGTTATTGAGTTCATTTTAAAAGATATTTGGCTAGAAATAACATGATTGGATCCAAGAGATGAAAATGTGGTCGATTGCAAAGCAAATCACTTCCTTTAGAAAATGAAACAGAAGCCAAGACCTTGTCCATAATTCCTTATTTCTATTTGGCAGGTAACTAGACAGCTTTGAGCTTTAGGGCAAATGATCATAAGACCAGTATTGCTTTAGAAAAACAGATTTCTTATGGCTTTTTTTCCTTTTTGACACAGGGTCTCCCTGTAGCCCCAGCTGATCTGGAACTCGCTATGTAGACCAAACTGGCCTGGATTCCACAAATTTGCCTTCATCCCTAGTGCTGGGATTAAGTCTGGACTTCTCTGGTCATTTTTTATATATAAATACATAGCAAAGCAAAGGTTTGGAGAAAATATGTGGGTTAAGAAGTTGTAGACGGTTGTTAAATTGCTCCAAATGTGCCAGCATCACTAATGACATTAAAATCAAAGCAGAAAACAGCCAGTGCTTATTGTTTATTCCCTTCAGTACCAGCCATTTCTAGTTCATAAATCCTTAAATTTAGCTCCTTTTATGACATTTTCCACATATTACAAATCTAGCTCAAAACTGTTTTTAACTCTTGCCTGAATTTTAAGTTTTATCTATAGTTTTGATACTTTTTTCTAATAACAATGAAATGTTTTGCCTGCCCTATTTTATTTGGCAACACAGCAGTTCCGATTACTTAAAACTGCGGAGTTCCCAAATCTGTGTCTCCATCTGAAAGCAATGCTTGTGCTGCTTAAACATCTGACTTCACCTTCTATATAAACACTGTTAGTGATCAGAACTGTAAATTTAATAAACTTATTGGGTTTGAAATAAAGGTAATATTTGATCATTATTTTTTATGTTCATCAGAAAAAAAACCTAATTTTTATTTAATCATTCTCTTATTTTGGTGCATCTATGTCGATCTAAATTTTTACTTTCATACAATTTGCCACCATTATACTGAAAAGGCTAACAGGTTTGACAAATTTAATATACTTACCATGTAAAAGGGAGTTTATTATCCAATAAAAATATTACCATGACAGTAGATAAATGTACAACACACTGAAAAACAATAGATTAAAAAATAAAGATTTTTAACTTTCCCCAAAGTTCATTACTATTTTACAAAGTTATGTAGGAGATAGAAAGAGCTAGAAAATATAGACATGTACTTAGATAATGACAGAGAAAGACAGGAAACAACCTTTCTCTAAATTAAGATTTTTAGAATGGGGAGGGGGAGGGGAGGGATTGAGGCAGGGTCTCCTTATAGGCCCAGATGGCCTGGAACTCACTGTGTAGACCTGGCTGGCCTGGATCTCACAGAGATCTGCCTGCCTCTGCCTCCAGAGTACTGGGATAAAAGGTGTGTGCCACCACACCCAGCTTTAAATGAAGATTTTTAAATTTAAACGCTGCACCTGGACAGAGAGGAAGAGCATGCTGAGGCCAGGTGCTAGGCAGCCATTTGAGAGGGAATCCCTGATTGCCTCACCTTCCCAGCTGTCTTCTCATGATAGACTGATTCTCTACAACCTTGCTTGCCTCATTGTAAAACCAGAATAATAAAGGTACTTAAGAATATTTTGTGAAGATTAAAATAAAGTGTGTGACTTTCTTACCAACATACAATAAGCATTCAATAACTGCCAAGTATAAGAATTTGGATGCCAGAGCACAGAGACAGATTCTGAAGCATACCCTGGTAGGCCGAATTGCTTTCCTCTTTTAGGACAGCAGTGTCCTCCCTCTGCTAAAGGCCATATGTCACTGTGCCTATACTTAAAGAACTAACAATCCTATCTTCAGGGTAGCATTTTAACGATAGCTGGAAATGTGTCTAAAGACACTGATATACACCAATTTATAATATACTTTTGTTTTAGACTAGTGTCATAGCAGAGAACCTCCCTGATTTTGTAAGACAAAAGCTTTAAATGTTGCCAGAATAGGGGGCTGGGCATGCAGCTTAGTGATAGAGCATTTGCCTAGCATGGACAAGGCCCTAGGTTCAACTATGGATACCACCACCAATCTCAACAGTAATTGATAATAATAAATAGTGAAAATAAAAAATAATAAGTTTAGCTAGTAATGGTGACACACTCCTATAATATCAATGGAAGCAGATGTGCTAGAGTCATACTCATATTTGGATACATAGAGTTCAAAGCCAGTCTGGGTTACATGAGATCTTATCTCAAAAAAAAAGAAAAAGAAAAAGAAACAAAAGAACATGATCCATGATCAAAATATATGAATTTTCTTTTCTAATATTTATTTTTATGTGTATGTGTGTATTGCCTGCATGTAGGCAAGTGCACCCATGTCCCCGCAGAGGTCAGAAGAGGCTGTCGGATCCCCTGGAACTGGAGTTAAGGACAGTTGTTAGCTGCCATGTGGGTGCTGGGATTTGAACCCGGGTCTTCTGCAAGAACAGCCAGTGTTCTTAACCACTGAGCCATCTCTCAAACCCCATGAATTGTCTTTTAATTATTAGATAATATTCCAGATTTCAAGGTCATCCCTAAAATTGTAGAAATAGGTATGTCAGTGCATGAAAAGTGAATAGTATGTCCTAAGCTGTGAAAATATGACTTGGGGACTGCAAGTTTTACTGGGGATTTTGTTATTTCTATTTCTCTGTTTTAGAGGTTTTCCTCCTGTACCTTATCTGTGAGAGAATCTGAAATGATTGTGTAGGCTCCCCACTGCTTTCTGAAAGGCAAGGCCTCTAAAATTCACACTTTGGGGCTCAGTAGGTAAGGAACTTGCTCCCAAGCCTGAAGACTTGAGTTTAGTCTCTGGGACCCACACGATAGAAGGAAAGAACCAAATCCTACAAGTTGTCCTCTGAGCTCCAAATGCATACTGTGGCATGAATGTACACACACACGCACACACACACACACACATACACATACACACACACATACACACACAGAATAAATAAATAAATGCAAATTTTCTCAGATTTTTCTACCGTATTTGAAAGGATGTACAAAAGAAAAACGTTGTTCAAATATCCGTTCTCTTGAGGAACACAAAATTAAATCACAGAATTTCTTGCAGAAATATTTTCTTTGTATGCTCTAGCATTTGTAAAAATAGGAGGGGTTTAAAAATTAGCCTTCATTTATCTGCTCAAAATATGAATGTGACTGAGCATTTGCATGAAATCGCAAGGCTGTGATTATGCTTTTCTCTGTAGCGACCTGCCCAGCTGTGGAACCCGACGGTGGAGGTGGGAGGTGCCTGGGAATGGAGAAGGGCTCTGAGATACTTATATATGGTGACCATGCCCCAAACATCGCATGTGTCAGAGCACAGCCAAAGAAACCCTAGACTGTATGCAATGACGTTACACATGAACCTGAAATAAAAACCTAAAGGCAGCTGGGATAGAGGGCGCTGCTTGTCCAGGTGCTCTGTGCACAAGGAATTCTAGTGCCTCCTTTCACAAGCAGCAAGAAGACACTAAGTATCAGGTACGCCTGAATACTGCTTACATCCAGGAACTCCTCATTCTTTTTTTTTTTAAGTCATGATTTTGTTACTATTGAAAGAACTAAGATTGGCTTATTTCTACAACCAATATGACATGGAAATTGGTAAGCACATCTCTAACCATCTTACGTTACCTCTTTAGAATCAAGAGTTTCATGTTCAGGAATTGCCACCATGGGATGACCAAGCTTCACAGAAAAGATGTCCAGCATGTGATCGGGAGTCGAGGTGAGGAGAAACAGATATTTAGATGTCATTTCAACTGACAATTAGATGACATATCATTATATTACTGCAGGTAGTAGTAGATTCTACTAAGTGTAAATATTAAGATTTGATTGTCTTTACAAAAACTTGGAAGATCTTTTGGCCTATGGTGAGTACTTTGCACATAAAACCACATCTTATTTTTTTGTGTGTCACAAAAGCTCTATCAGGCATTAGCAATACAGCAAGAACTGCCATTAATTATTTGTTGAACTAATGATCAAAACATACTTATAGATTTAACAGAAAGGAAGTGAAATGTTTCAGTTCTTACATGCTAGCCTCTGATAATAAAGTTTAAAATCAAAAGCTAAGCTCATGTTCAAATTCACAATAAATGTGATGTATTATAGATGCATGTAGAGAGACTATGTATTTCCTGGGGCTATAAAATATTACACATTATTATAAGCATTAATATACCAGAATAATAACACAGAAACTTCATAATACTGCAATCTTCCCAGATGATATTATTATAATGTAAGAAGAACACAGTGAGAATTTAACAGGAGGCTCTTTCCCTATGGGGTAATTGTTGTTACTCCATGAGTCTCTTGATAGCACACAGACACTTAATCCCAGTAAGGCTGAAGAAAGTCAGCAACAGTCAGAAAAGTAAAGACTGAGACACAGACTTTGTAATGAGATTCAGTCCCCTAACTCCTTGCTTCTGTTAAGGCACATTCTCACTCTGTAGCCTAGGATGCTCTATAATTCACTATGAAGCTCAGAGTAGCCTTGAACTCACGTCAAAGACTCAGCCTCCCAAATGTTGTGCTTCCAGGCGTGAGCGACCGCTCCCAGTTTCATTCATCCCTCTTTTATATTACCTCTATTGCTCCAACTTTAAGGTGATCACAAGAAAAGTTTCACCAGGGCCATTTCTCTTTCTGCCAGAGGTAAATACAGGTCACAGAAGTTACTGAACCTCCTCATTCTCAACACAGTCATGAGAGGGGGTAAACAATGGGACAGAGGCTGGCTCCCAGTTCTCCAGAGCATGTTCAAAGGAGCCAAGGACTCAGACTTAGCCCTGCAGGCTGCCAGAGAGGCTCAGGAGGCCTCCTGGCACTTTGTCAGCCCCCACCTGCTTTTATTTAAAGTTATAGGTTCTCCAAATCCCAGCCCTTAAATTGTTCCCAACTATGGATCTTCTGCTCATCCCACATCAGGACTTTTACTCAGCCCCATAACTACAAGGAGACCAGTGCTTTAAACAGAAGTGAAGCCAACCGGTGCTCTCCACAACGCTCCACAAAGTAACTCAAAGCATCTCCTTCTACAGGTTCTGGAGGTTTCCGAGACACTAGGCTTTGCTAGAGTATCAGTCCTGTACTGCTCAAACTTCAAACCTGGACTTGACAGAATCTTTAATACACACAGACATTGGTACGGTATTTATATGAATCACCAGAGTTTGTATAACGTCAGACTTTCATTCTTGTAATTTCCTAATATATAAGAGAATCATCCTGAATTTTTAAAGTTTGGTAATGCTCTACAAAATTTAATTGAGATTGGGAACTGAGTCATGACATGGTGCCTACATTTATATGCTGTTCCTTCTTTTCAGCATAGGTATTTATTCATTTTAATCGTTTTCATCATCACTTCAAATTTCAAAAGCTTTTTGCCGATTCCTTAATCAACAGAAGGGAATGGAAAATGCCTGATCTTAGATAATTATTAAACCCCGAATTACCTCTGTTTGGCTTCGGAATGCTTTTTCTTTTTAGGATCTTTTAATACAGTAAATTTGCTTTTTTCATTTTCTTTTAACCAACTGAAATGCATTGTTAATGTCTTGCAACAGTTGCGAGTTTAGTTATAATTTATTACATACTTATGTAATATTTATGTGTGTTTGTTCATTTGGGGTTTTGCTCTTTTTCTCTGTTTGTTTGGAATTTTCTTCTTCTTTCTTTCCATTTATTTAGAAGAGTCTCCTCACTATATAGCTCAGGTTTTCCTCCAACCTGATTCTCCTGTTTCAGCCCCCCAAGTGTGAGGCTCACATGTCCATGTCACCACATTAGACTGTTCATTTAGTTCTCACTTATGTCTAACCTTGCTTTGCAGACAAAGAAACTAACACTCTAAGAGAGAGAATAATTTCTTTAAGGCCCAGAAATAGTAGCAAAGAGCAGAGACTGGAGTTTGGGTGGCAGACTGTTCAGAGCCTGAGCAAGAGAAGGAACAGTGAGGGTATCTATCTGTTCAGGAGCTGAAGCTCTGTGAGCAAAGGGGGGGCCGGTGCTGACATTCCTGCTTCAGCACAAGTCACTGTAAAGACATGCAACATGTTAATGGAGGACTGAGAATGATTAGAGAGGTGAAGAGGGAGAAGGCAGGAGGGAGGAAGGAAGGAGAAATGAAAGACAGGAAGGAAAGAGGGAATTTTAAATGAAAATATTGTCTAGGGAAAGAGTAGAATTGTCTAGGGGGGATATGCCGACCTCCTACTTTCTAGGATGACTTAAGGAGCAGTGAGCAGCTGCGCTGACTGAGAATGATAGGCCAATACACATTAGGAAGAAATAACGTCAAACACTGAATCCTCTGCTGAATTGGAGATTTTTCTAATGTGTGAAAAACAGAGATGTGATGTGGGAGAGCAATAAAACACAGTATAGAAATCCTGCCACGGACATATTGGAGATAATATAACAAAAAGACTAAAGTAAGTTTTACGTAGTTGAACAGCTTGCTACAGAGAGGGAGAGTGGATCTGGAGGGACAAAGGCTCGCTCAAGCCTGCTTACATGGTAGTAAGTGCTCTGGAAACAAATTAACTTTTGGTCTCAAAAATATACCTGAAGAGTTACTGTTATCACAGCTCCATACAGAATATTACATGCATCTGGTAGTCATATAGTCACAGGGAATGAGAGAAAGCACACTTCCATCTGGGGTGGAAACCTCAGTCCTGGATTGTGCGCAGCAGGAGAACTAAACCCCGCCCACTATCAGAAACTAAAGCTTGAGGAAGCAAGAAGTTTTAACTCTTGCAGGAAGTTTTAACATCCTAACAGCAGCTGCTGAAGGCAGTCTGTTCAATCTACCTCCTTGACATTGCTTTTTGTTTAACCACATCCCCTATAAACCTCCTTAACTATAGTAACCCATACCTGCTTCTGTGTCTACAATTGAACTACTTACGGTAGAATGGGACCTTTACAAAAAACATCTGTAAAAGTAGCCATGGAAATCCCTGCAGCAAAATCTAGGTAAAGTATTTTTTCATTAGTATAACATAGTTATTAATGAGACTACAAGTCACTGGAATTTCTTAATTGTGTGTTTGTCTTTTAAGATTTTTGATCCAGCATGGGACCCACCTAGCACAGAGTAGATGTGAGTATGAATGAATAAAGCAAATAAAAAATGAATTAAATGTTTAGCCACAAAGTATACTCTCATTTCCAGACTAAAGAATTCCAAATTCATGAACAATTAGGAATTGTTTGCTGCATTCCTAAATGTAGCAATTCTTAAATGTATGCTATGAGATCTCACACACTAGAAAACTTCAAGATAACCACCACTCAGGTAAATTCTATTTGATCCTCAAACTTCTTTGGATTTCTGAAGACTTTATTTGTCAGAATTTAATTCCACAGATTCCACCTTCAGGTCCTATTTCCAGTTTCTCTTGAACTGTTCAAAGGTCTAGACATGAGGTTTATAATCTTCTGGTCCTGTGAGAAGAAACTGAAGATCTCCATGGCAACAGTCCCTGCACTCCTACTCAGGAGGCCAAGGGTCAGAGGCTGTCTGTCACCATACTTAAACGTACATATTTGGTTTGTTTCTCCCATTCTGGAGATCTGCCTTGCCAAACCAATCATCTGGAGCTTTCAAATGAAAGTTCATTCCTTTGGAGTTTCCTGTTCTGAACCACAACTGAGGTAAAATTATAGCCATAGGGGAGTAAATAAAAATTCCCAGGACAAAAACCCAGGATCCTTAATATCAGTCCTTATTTCTCCCAGTTTTCCCTTGTATGAGCTTTTCAAAAACACTGTCAAGTTTCACAGAACTCTGCTGTGTGTAGTGTTATCTGCTTCACTGTTGACATGTAAACACACATCGATTGATACATATGTTCACTGTTTCATGAACCCACAGAAGTCATCAATGCTGGTAATCAGTTTTTTTTAATTAATTAATTTTTAAAAAAATTTTATGTGTATGTGTGTATTGCCTGCATGTAGGTAAGTGCACCCGTGTCATGCAATGCCAGAGGAGGTCAGAAGAGGCTGTCAGATCCCCTGGGACTGGAGTTACGGACAGTTGTTAGCTGCCATATGGGTGCTGGGATTCGAACCCAAGTCTTTTGCAAGAACCACCAGTGTTCTTAACCGCTGAGCCATCTCTCCAGCCCCGGTAATCAGTTTTATTATACTATAATCTAAATTCGTGGAATACCAGTAAAAAGACAAGCAAGTTTTCTGCTTTGGTCTTGTAATAGATTGAAAACCTCCAGCAAGTATACTAGTTATATCCTTTGCCGTCCCTGTTCCATGCTATCGGTTAAGGCTCAGGACAGGCTAGGATTTCTTCCTCTGAAGACAAGGCTCTAAGGACAGCTCATGCACAATAGAAAGTCTCTTCTCACACTATATTCAGCATGTTTAAAAATATACACCATTTCCTTTTATTTACTCACATTTTACTTTGAAAGCCTTTTTCCTCAACTAGAAAATCTCTTTCCTGGGGATTAGCCGCACCATTCAGTTTATTTCAGTGCTGAGTTCCCAGGTTGTAAAGAAAATGCAGCAAAATAATCTATATTCAGGATTCAAAGATTGCAGAAATTGGAACTGGATTTACAAGGAAGCATTTCTGCTGTTCTCCTTGTCTGTCCTTTAAGGGCACAATTAGTTGCTTAATACCGCACACAAAATATCATTGCCAT